AAAAATTTGAAAAAAATTCTAAAATTTTTCGAAAATTTCAAGTTTTTTGCAGCGGCGGCTGATGACGGCTAAAGGAAGTAGGCGTAGCGCCTACAGTGGGAGTGCGTGGCGGGTGCGAGTGACAGGCGAGGTGTGGGTTGAAGGTGAGTCGAGATCGAGCCTCGTAATGTGGGCAAGGATCGAGCAATGTGACCGTACGATAGAATGCGGTTGCACGATAACGTTGATCACGATCTGTCGCGGGACAACAATTGATCGGCCTCGCTCGGGCTGTTTGGTTGCTAATTTTGTAATTTTTTGTGATTGTTTCAGACTTTGGTCATTTTTTGCCAATTTTTTTCCCTTTCTAAACCCATAAAAAGCCAAAAAAAATAATGAAACAGAAAATTGAAGTCTTCCCATTTGTTGTCGTGCGATCAACATAGCTCCCTCGCCTGCCAGTTGGAGTCTCACCACTTGTTTTTGTGCGATCAATGGAGCTCCATTGGTCAGCTAACTGGAGCCTCCCTGCATGTTTTTTTTTCTAATTCCTTTCAAATTCTCTCAAGTAATTGTGATAATGATTCCATCCATAAATTAAATAAAACTCCATATATTTTTAAATTATAAAAAAAAAACTTATTTTTATTACTACCAAAAGAACAATATGTCAAATATTCATACCAATTCTTCAAAGAATGTCAAAATAGTAAATTAAAAAAAAAATTATTATTTTTTGGGCATTTGGATGTACATAACAGAGATTTTATACATTTACCCATCTAATATATAATAATTCATATTTACAATTATAACACTCAAAATCTTAATATCAAATATATAAAATCATCATTATTAACACTTTAAGTGTGAAATACATAATTTTGTGCATAGATTTATGGTAACAAAATGTTATTAAACTATAGGCATTTGATATGTGAAGACATAAGAATTGTTTGGTATGCATATAAAATTGCATATGTTCTGCACTTAACTAATTTATCTTTCAATATCCAATTTATAAATAAAGGATTGCTATGAATCTTTCTCTCATAAAGAGTCCAGCAGATAATATTCAATTGTGGTGTATAGATCTCATGATCCAGCTACAGGAATCGGCTTTAACATATCCATCCATAATAAATTCTTAAAATAATAAAACAAAAAAGAAAATTGACAGACACCATGCAATTCTTTATGTGTCTACAAATCAAACACTCACGCCTTTCATATTTATGTTTTGTTGGTGACTCGTTTATAAGTCAACTCGGCCATGGAGTGAGTTGATCTTCTTAAGCGGATATAGCTTATGGTCAACTCGGACATGGAGCGAGTTGAACTTCTTAAACGGATTTAGCTTGTGGAGAGCTCTGCCAACGTAGTCATGGGTTAAGCCGAGCTTTCTTATTGAGTTTGAACCATCTTAGTCCGATTATATCACCATTTGCGAGCTAATGATCGAAGTTCATTTATTGAGTCGATACATCAATCAAACTAATCTAGGCCAAACATATTGTCGGTTTTTGGTGAATTATAAATATGCCGCTTTGTGTAAAGTATTATATATTGCAGTCAATTGCGAAGTCGTTGCACATCATTGTCGCCGCCAGCCAATTGCTGCTTGTCGTTGTCGCCACCACCGATATCATTTTTACTTCAAACGAATCAAGAAAATTTGAAGCATTGCATACAACTTCTATTCAAAATACAATACATTTCTTTTACACGGCAGCCCTTATCTTTGAGATAAAATCAATTACTGGTGCATAACTTCTAACATTTCTTGTATTATTATATTCATAATGTAGTATTGATATATCATCTTAATTAAATTATTATATTAGAATCTTTTACTACATTTTGATACCAAAAACAATAGTAATTTATAATGATAACCTTGATTGCAAACCATGTAAATTAAAATTGATGGGTCAAAGGATAAGTAGGAATTCAAACCCAAGCAAGTGTAAAAATATATAAGTCAGTTAAAATCATTAATTTAATACTATTTGTGAAAATATTGTTTTACTGAGTGACATGTGACAAATGAAAAATATACTCATGCTGACATTGGTCAACACATAAAATGATGCACTTTTACAAATATTTTATTTAAGATGTCATAATACATCATAAACAAAATAATAATAATAAGTATCTCAAGCCCTTAAGAGCCATTAGTCCTTATTAAATAACTTAAGTGGCAGATATGTAAATAAATAAGAATTGTGGTGTGTGTGTGAACATACTGACGTAGTTGTAACATTAGCCCCCATTTTTGACTAGTTATGGCTACTTGCCTGATTAATTAACATGATTCCATTTCGATACTCCACGTTATACAAGCAATTTAAAACAAACAAATCTTAGATGGAAAACGACGAAATTAATTTGGAACTGGATCGGGGCATTTACATATATACCACGCGAATCTTTAATATTTACATATCTAACATCTAAGGCTTCATATTTTACATACGTAACACTCAAGTGTTTTAATATATATTGTCATATATAAATTTATGACACCTAAGTGTGACAAACATAAAGGTCTTTTAAATACATAACATTCTAAACTTTCATATTTACCTATCTTACACTAAAACTTTCATACTTACAAACATCATATAAAAATTAGCACTGACTATCACCTTCTGATAGTCAAATCCATCTTCTAATCCATAAATAAAGCCTATGTGTGTAAAAATGAAACTTTGGGTGTGACATATGTAAATCCATAAGAATTGAGTGTTTTATATGTAATTTTCCCTGAATATAAATATGAAAATTGAGATGTTTGATATGTAAATACATAATAATTATGTGGTATATATGTAAATTTCCCAAAAAGATAAGTTCCTTTATTTTTTTTTTTCCTAAGAGATAATTAGATCCCTTTATTTAATAAACATTCCAATCCTGTCACCTGTATTTCTTATTATTCTTAGAAAAACATTGACTTTATTATTCTATTATTTATATTTTGAAAAAACTTACAAGTGATGGCTTACGAAAGCACTCCTTTAAAAAATTTATTTTCATTACATATATAACACCCATTGGGGCAGCTTATTTGGTGCGGTGGCTTTTTGAAAACGCACATGGTCTGTTTGGGTAAATTGTGTTTAGGCAACTTATGCGTTTTCAAAACGCTGTTTTCAAAACGTTGAAAACAGCGTTTTCACAGTGCACTTATTTAGGTGCATTGATAGCTTTGTAGCAGCAGTCTGACATTTCCAAAAAAATAAAAAATTTGTAATAGCCACCGCACCTAGTTTATCTGCAGATTATTTTTAAACAGCTTATCACCAGATTATTCAATAAGCTGCAGCTGCCCCAAACAGACCCTAAATATATAAATTATATTCGGAGCTATTAGTAATTAATAAAAGTATTTTTAGTGCAAAAAATGTAATTAAGTTTGGAATATAAATTTTGCAGGACCCATATTTTTGTATACTATGGGGAATGTACCAATGTTACATGTGAGCCATCCGGACATAGTGAAAGAGATGAATTTATGCAAATTTAAGTGGCAGATATGTAAATAAATGAGCATTGTGGTGTGTGTGAACATACTGACGTAGTTGTATCATTAGCCCCCATTTTTGACTAGTTATGGCTACTTGCCTGATTAATTAACATGATTCCATTTCGATACTTCACGTTATACAAGCAATTCAAAACAAACAAATCTTTAATGGAAAACGACGAAATTAATTTGGAAGTGGATCAGGGCATTTACATATATACCACGCGAATCTTTAATATTTACATATCTAACATCTAAAGCTTCATATTTTACATACATAACACTCGTGTTTTGATATCATATTAAAAATGTTACTATTACTTCCTTTCTAAAGATGGAATATATATTGTCATATATAAATTTATGACACCTAAGTGTGACAAACATAAGGGTCTTTTAAATACATAGCATTCTAAACTTTCATATTTACCTATCTTACACTAAAACTTTCATACTTACAAACATCATATAAAAATTAGCACTGACTATGATAGTCAAGTCCATTTTTTCATCCATAGATAAAGCCTATGTGTGTAAAAATGAAACTTTGGGTGTGACACATGTAAATCCATTAGAATTGAGTGTTTTATATGTAATTTTCCCTAAATATAAATATGAAAATTGAGATGTTTCATATGTAAATACATAATAATTATGTGGTATATATGTAAATTTCCCAAAAAGATAAGTTCTGTTATTTTTTTTCCTAAGAGATAATTAGATCCCTTTATTTAATAAACATTCCAATCCTGTCACCTGTATTTCTTATTATTCTTAGAAAAACATTGACTTTATTATTCTATTATTTATATTTTGAAAAAACTTACAAGTGATGGCTTACGAAAGCACTCCTTTAAAAAATTTATTTTCATTACATATATAACACCCATTGGGGCAGCTTATTTGGTGCGGTGGCTTTTTGAAAACGCACATGGTCTGTTTGGGTAAATTGTGTTTAGGCAACTTATGCGTTTTCAAAACGCTGTTATTTAGGTGCATTGATAGCTTTGTAGCAGCAGTCTGACATTTCCAAAAAAATAAAAAATTTGTAATAGCCACCGCACCTAGTTTATCTGCAGATTATTTTTAAACAGCTTATCACCAGATTATTCAATAAGCTGCAGCTGCCCCAAACAGACCCTAAATATATAAATTATATTCGGAGCTATTAGTAATTAATAAAAGTATTTTTAGTGCAAAAAATGTAATTAAGTTTGGAATATAAATTTTGCAGGACCCATATTTTTGTATACTATGGGGAATGTACCAATGTTACATGTGAGCCATCCGGACATAGTGAAAGAGATGAATTTATGCAAATCCTTAGAGGCATGTATTTAAATGCCCATTTTTTCATAATAAAATTTAATTATAAAAAAACATGCTAAAATTAGTTTTTAGGGTTTAATAAATAAATTATCTTAATTTGACCAAAAAAAAAAAATCTCCAAATATTTATCACTATTTTAGGTTTGAAATAGAACAAAACCAGTCTATATCTGTATCTGAGGGGATATAGAACGGGATGAGCAGAGCTGATAAGCTGAAAAAACAAACAGAACCCTAATTTCGGGGAATGAAGACTGGATTATGGTCCAAACTCTCTCAACGGCCGACGTTGAGAATGAAAAGGAGGTGGATCTGCGCCCCACACAAAAGATTTAGGTTTCTGAGTCTGCAATCTCCCCCATTATGCAGAGGAAAATGTCGCAGCTCCGTCAAGCCGGTGGTCAGGATGAAGCCGGCGCAGCACCTCAGCTGGTGGTGGTGGCGATCGACGGCGATAAGAACAGCCAGCACGCTCTCAAATGGGCGGCCGATCATATCTTATCTAAGAACGAGATATTCATCCTTCTACATGTTCGACGGAAGATCACTTCTATTCCCACTCCATGTACGTTGCGTTCATATATCCATATATTACTTGTGTTTCTGACTTACATCTCCAATTTCCATATATGATTTGTAAACTAACATTGTTATTGTTTAAATTTAATTATGAACTCCACTGTTATCTAGAACTCTGGTGGGGGCATGCACTCCAGTAACACTTTTTTTATAAGAAATATTAAAATATTTTATAAATAGCTCTGTTCTTATAAATTGAATAAACAAAACAGTTAAATGGGCTGTCCATGGGCTTTTGATTAATATGTATTTTTTTGAACGAATATTGTCCTAATTAGGCGGAATATGAGGGAGCCCAAACTCAGCTCCTGTTCGGCTCTTTTATATTTCGAGCTCAAAAAGTGTGTTCGTGTTCAACTCATCTGCTTAACGAGCCGAACACTAGTTGTTCACGAACAAAGAGTCGTTTTGACAACCCTGATCACGTAGCAATAATATTTTAAGGGTTGGGGCAAGATTTAAAATTATTGTTTATATTAAAACATCATTTGAATCTAATTTAATAATTTTTATTCTATTTTCTTAATTAATACTTTTAATTGATTGTAAATCTTTGTAGTCTTCTAGCCATTTAACTTTTGAAAATATATTACTCATCAATATAAAAATAAATAAATATATATATATATATATATATATATATATGTATATAATTGAAAGAGTGATATGTTCTATGTGTTTATTATGCAACTTAATTCATGCATGCAAATATGTATTTCACTTTTTAGAAATTAAAATAGTGATATGTTTTATGTGTTATGGATGATTTTTTGGTGGAATACTAGTAAAAGCAAAGAGTTTAGGTGTTAGATATGTAAATAAATTAAATTTGGTGATTTGTTTGTGAAATAAAGTTCTTTGTAATGCTGATGTTTTTATTTATGTGATATGAGTGATTTGGGCTGTATGAGTATAAAAAATAGCGTGTAGGTGTACTATATGTAAATTACATCAAAATTAGGTGTTATAGATATGTAGCTTACATAAAATTAAGTGATATGCATGTGAATGCCAAGCCGTTTGCATAAAACAGGGTGGCCTGTACGTAAATTAAATTTCGTTGAAATAAATTAGAATGAAGAAAAGACTGGACCATGCATTTTACCTGTTCAGTACATCTTGTATAGGAAAGGATTACTATTTCTTTGTATTCACTTCTTTTATCTTTAATGAAATAGAATATAAAGAATTTGAAATAGAGAGAGGAGAATCATATTTGCTATTTTGTAAATAATTTAGGTTTTTTTGCTTTAATCCAATATCTCAAAATAGATAATTGGTTTTGTTATTTAAAGTAAAAAAAAAAAAAAAAAAAACTAACATGATTGTTGTACCCTATGAACCAAACGATTCTTTAGAATCAGGGCTGGTTCTCCGATTCAAGCGTTGAACTACCGGTTCAATTTAGGTTCAATGTTGGAGGGACTTTATATGCTAACTTGAAATCCGGGTCGATTTCGATTCCCCGATGACGAACAAAGAATCCTAGAAATCGGTTGGTGGTGGAGTTGGATGTATGTTGATGGTGGAGGTGTGGGTTGTGGGTGTGTGTTGGGGAGGTGTGTAGGGGTTGGGAAGATGTGTTGGGGGGGCCTTTTTAGGTAGTTCAATCTAGTTCACTGTCAAACTAACTGGCTCAATACGATTTTTGAAACCTTGATTCTAATAATATACATATTTTTCGCTATATTTTTTTTTGGGGCATTTACATACATGCATGCCACACAATTCATTTATATTTACCTAAAACCCTATCTAACACTTTAAACATTCATATTTATACATACCACTCAAACATTTATCATTACATAATATGTATTTCCATCATCATGTTTTTAAAAGTAAAACACACCTTTAATTTTCATTCACAGATTTATTACACAAAAGGTAGATATGTCAATACAAAAACATTGTGTGATATGTATACACATTTTTCCATAATATTTTGCAGCAGAACTAATTTTTAAAGACTCATTCACATTAAGAAATTGGAAGTTTTGCATGCATATATATACCTCTCAATTCTCAACTATTTACATATCTTAACATCTAAACTTCAAATTTTTTTTATGTCTGCCACCTTATCTATGCATGTAATGGTCTATTTCACATTTTAAAGTTAAAACAGTGGCATTGTTTTGAAGTTATATGAAAGATTTGGATGATATAAATGTAAAAATCAAAGTTTAAATGATATAAATACGTAAATACATAAAAAATTGGGTGGGGTGTGTGTGTGTGTGTATATATATATATATATATGTAAATTGAAGACATTAAATGTGATGCTAATCAGGGCATGGTCGATTTAATGGTGGATTCTGCTGTTCCAATGCTGAAAACATGGGAGAGAAGAATAGAGAATGGAGGAGGGAGAACAGAGATAAAGATTGACGAGGATCTCAAGAACTATTCAGCTGATGTGATCTCAAGAGCAAGTTTTGGGAGTAGTTTCTTCAAAGGAAAGCAAATTTTCATGAAGCTCTATGAGTTGAAGAAAGCTGTTTCTAAACCAAATCTCCTTGTTGAAATCACTGGAATATTCAGGTAATATTTATTTTCATTAATGTTGCAGGTCGCATAAAACAATATCATTATAACTATGTTCAAATAGTCAATTTTACAACTTTTCATGCTTGGTAAAATGCTACAAGTGTAAAAATCAAATTTTAGAATGCTAAATATGTTAATATATAATAATTGCGTGTATAAATATAAGTCTATAAAAAAAAAACTATTTTTGTAATAAAATTGACGAGGGAATTGTTAGTATAAAAGGGCATTTACATGTACATCATGCACAATTCTTTTGATTTTTTTGACTATATAACACATTAACATTTGTCTTTACATCCGAAATATACATAGTTTTATGACATCATGATATTATAAATATAAATATCAAATTTTAGGTGTTCAAAATGAAAATAAATACAGATTGCATCACATGTATATGTAAATTTTCCCAACACCTCACTGTTCTTATAATCTCAGACACATTCCTACAAGAAGCAACAGAGAGGTGTGGAGGCTGAACAGAGAGATCAGATCGCTCATACTTCAAGCGGCGAAAGACAGGGATTTCGACGATGGGCAATCCTCGCGGGAGAATAATTTCCTTCAAACGATTCTCCACAGTGCGAGCGTCGCCGGAAATGGCTACTGCAGCGGCAGCGGCCGCAATGCTGAGGACTTCGTGGTCGATAATTGCAAGACGATATATTTTGCAGGGCACGAGACCACCGCCGTCTCCGCAACATGGTGCCTCCTGCTGCTTGCCACACATCAAGAGTGGCAGCACCGCGCTCGTGCCGAGGCTGCGGAGCTCTGCTCCGGCAAGCCGCCGGATGCACAATCCCTCCTCAAGATGAAAACGGTTAGTTTTATGACTATTCGTTATCTCAAGCATTTGGCTCTTGGGGCTTTTACAAACATACCACCCAATTCTTATTTGTTTACATGTATGACACCTAAACTTAATTTTCTTGTATTTTATCACCCAAAGCTTTTATATCACGTAAAAATACCTCCATTGGACATGCATGTATGTAAAAATTTAAGTTGAGATGTTAGATGTGTAAATAGGTAGGAATTGGGTGGTATGTATGTAAATCTTCCTTTATTTCTTCACGATTTATTTTTCTTATTCACTGATTTATTTTTCTTTTTAAATCCCAAAATTTTCATATCACATCAAAAAATATCACTATTTTAATTTTTAAATGGTAAAATACACATTTTCAAGCATATATAAGGTTGAATGTATGTAAAAGTTAATGTTTTGGTGTTTTAAATGTAAATACTTAGGAATTGTGTGGTGTTTTAAGTAATTTTTTCTTCATTAGTTCATAGATTTATCACATTTTTTTATATAAATTTAGTTAGATTGTTTATTTTTCAATATATTAAGTTGCATATATAAGTTTCCTCATGGCAGAAGTTTATGTGCATAATTTACATCTAGACCACCACCATGATCAATATATTCATAAGTCAAAAGTTTCTTAGCATATGGTGAGGAGGTTTAATTAAGTTATATGAACAATTTTGCTTACATTCCTGCAACTTATTTGCATGAAAAAATAACATAATGACACTACTCACCCTCCATGATCTTATAATAACACAAATTCGAGTGGTCATTCTACTTATCGATAAAATATTAACGGCCCATCTAGATGTTCAAACGATTAAGTGGATTGCACCGCTATTCACATTGGTGCGGTGCAATTCACGCCGTTGTTCCGATGTTAAGTGTTTTGGATTTAATATTTTGTACTATTTCTGATATTAAAGTTAGCCCACAATATCACAATAAGGAAAATAAAGCACGTACATCGTTACAATCAAAGTTAAATTTTACTCTCCCTGTTTTTTCGTATCAGCTAGCCATGGTGATCCAAGAAGCTCTCCGTCTATATCCCCCCGGAGCCGTGGTGGCAAGAGAGGCTCTCGAAGACCTCAAATTGGGAACCCTAAACCTACCAAAAGGCATCAATATATTCATCCCCGTCCCCACAATGCATCTCGATCCCAACATTTGGGGTTCCGATGCTGCCGAATTCCGCCCCGAGAGATTCGAACACGGCGTCCTCAACGCCTGCCGTCTCCCCCAAATGTACATGCCCTTCGGTGTCGGCCCTCGCACGTGTCTCGGCCAGAATTTCGCCATTATCGAGCTCAAGATTGTCCTCGCCCTAATCCTTCAGAGGTTTTGCTTCCACTTGTCGACCAATTATCGGCACTCGCCCACTCTTCGGTTGATTGTCGAGCCTGAGTTTGGGGTGGACTTGATCATGAGCAAGGTTGGACTTAATTAATGTTGCTCCTGATTGTGGTTTGTAATTACATATTACCACTTTCCATTCATATGTATTTACATATCTGACCTCTCAATTTTAAATTTTATACTCATAACCCTCAAATTCTTAATTATCATTTTCTAAAAGTCAAATGAATAAACTTTTAGGTGTTAAATATGTAAATCCATACCGCTCAATTCTCATGCATTTACATATATAACACCTAAACTTCAATTTTAACCTTGAAGTATTTGGGAGATAAGTAAATGCATACATGCCACCCAATTCTTATATATTTACATTTCTAACACCTAAACTTATTAACACCCAATTCCTATTATATATGGAGCACCTGAGATTTGATTTTTATATTTATACCACCCAAATATTTCATGCCATATCAAAATTACCACTTTTAACTTTTAAAAGTGATATTGGTGAGAGTATATTTGAATTTACAGAGCGATTTTGGCGAAATACCCAGTAAAAGGGATTAAATTGGTGCAAGTATGTTTGAATTTACTAGATGCTATGTATGTAAATATGAAAATTTAGGAGTGAGATGTATAAATACATAAGAAATTTATGCTATGTATGTAAATACATAAGAAATTTGTGTTATGTATGTAAATATGAAAATTTAGGTGTGAGATATGTAAATACATAAGAAATTTGTGATATGCAAGTTTTGGGTGAAGTTATGCAAGGATTGATTTTTGTTTGATTAATGGAAAGATAATGGTGTAGTAATTCAATACTACAATGATGGGTTGATGGGTTCGTTTGAGTCTTAATAGGTTATTTGGTCGATTTTCTGATTTTGTGGATGTGATTTTCAAATATGATATGTAGGTGACCTAAGGTTTCAAATTTGATGTGTAATGTGCAGGTGCACTAATCTATAGAGCTACATTTATGGTACAAATGAATATTTGAAGCGATGGATCGTGGATGTATAATAGATTGTATCCAATCAGAAAATGATTAACTGACAAGTTTATTGTTGGTGTTGAAAAGTCAGTGCATATGGCATCATAGTTGTCTGTTTAACTTTCAGAAGGTAGGTTTTGATGCTCATAGTCGAAGTACAAAAATCAAGTGTACCTAATATCTGACGAAGTGAAGTTGGATCTATACCGCAGAGGATTTAAACCCGATTATTGGTATTGAACTTCACATGGTGAATTTGAATTAGATGTTCAGTATGATATTGCGGGAGCGCATTAAGTTATGCCCCTCCAACTGTTCATGATTTTGACACTTATGAGAAAATGTTTAATGATACGAGCAAGACTCATTATATTGGCAGTGCGTCTGATGATGACGAGGAACCGAACAACGAAGCGCAACAATTTTATGAGCGATCAAATGTTGCCCAACAACCTCTGCGAGAAAAATGCACTTTGTGGAGTCATGACGTACGGTGCAAAGTGACGAAGCAGTGCATCATTCTGAACATGATGTAACAAAGATATGACACACCTGCAGTGCAATGACACATTGTAAAAACGGTGTAACAACACGCCCTAAAAATAGAGTGACAATGCATCCCAAATACAATGCAACAACGTGCCCCGAGTATGGTGCAACGACGCGTTCTGCATACGGTGTCAGTACACAACTCAAAGACGGTACAACAATGCACCCTGAAGATGATGTAATAATTCACCCCATATACATTGACTTTCTACATACTCCTGAAGTCTTTCATTGTATCTCTCCACTACAATCTGCATGGTTCATAACTAATGCGTCTCCCAACTCTAACCACTGTAGCATAAAGACGTTATTGCAACTCACCACCATGACCTAAGTGACCAACTACGGTCTGAGTGGTCCACAACTCATGTAACTCTCAAATTTGGCATCTATAACATACTTACATCATTGTAGTTCACCAATACGACCCACATGACCAACTACAACTTACGTGGTCTACAACTCGTGCAGCTCCACTCTTCGCCATATACGGCCTACAATTGTTATTGCAGCTCACCAGCATGGCCTATGTGACCAACTACAGCCTAAGTGATCGATACCTCATGCAACTCCCAAGTTTCAAAGGCCCGATTGTGAGCATCTGTTTGAAGCAGTTGCAATTGTTTGAAGAAGCGACGTGAAGTTGTTGAAGATACGTTGTTGTTCAAAAAACTATGGTGACTATTACAATTTTTTTAAAAAAAAAATCATATCATAGCTTTCTAACACCCATTACAGGTAGTCGAACATGCTGAAAAAATGCAACTTTCAGCTGCAACTTTTTAGAATGCAGACAAATCACAGTTTTGCCTAACTAAAAAAATTGTGGTGCAACACCACACCGCCGCCCCAAACCAACCCTAAATGTTAAGTAATAAAACCTAAGTTCCAAAGACTGAATTCTAAAGACCTAGAGTTGACCAAATTCCAAGGTTTGAATTCAAAGTGTGGAGTTTCGTTAAGGATCTGCTTGGGAGAGTTTCCTATTTGCTTGACGTTTCAGACAGGAACTCAGACTTGTTTAAGAAACTGTTTCCTTCATGTTATCTAAAATTTGTGTTTGGAAGCTGTTTTTATCAACCAAACTTATTAAAATATGGTGACTATAAAAAAGTTGTCTAATTTTCTAATATATATATATATAATTTCCACCTTAATTTGATTTCTACACAGACAAACAGACCATAGAGGAGCTGCCTCGGCATTAATACTTTTTATTTTTATGTGCCTTTTAACTGATGATTGTAAAATCTTATAGCAAAAGAAGGACATGCCCTTGTCTATAAATAAATGGTCAAAAATTCGAGATGGTGAATTCTCATGTATTTACATCTCAAACCCTAAATTTCAACTTTCACGTGCATACCACCTTATCTATGAATGAAAATATATATTTCATTTTCTTTTAAATTAACATGATAGTATTTTTTATACCTTATAAAAGATGTAGATTATGTACATGTATATATGTATGTAATGATTAGGGGGATGCATGTTGTTTATTGCATGCATTAATAAAAGTGTAAAAAACTAATTGTATCTCTAAAAAATAGTTTATTAAATATAAAATTTTGATGTATCTATAATTTTAAGTGGTTGAAGTAAATTTAAAATTTCGAGTTAAAAATATTGACTAATTTTAATTCCTCTCTGATTCATTACTTTTTTGGAAAGATATACATACATATCATTCAATTCCCATGTATTTTGTATATCTAACACCTAAAATTTAATTTTAAGTTCTATGCCACTTTCTCCATGCATGAAAAAGATGTATTTCATGTTCTAAAAGTAGCCATGCTTTGGACGATACTTTGCTCCGTATGATGTTTCGTTACACTGCAACGTTGGTCGTTACAACACACAGTGCTTTGTTACTCAGTAACACGCACCTTGACTCATCACGAGACATTGCTACGAGTAGGGGGCGACTAATGGTGGTCAACAGTGAACAAGGAGCGGTGGTTCACAGCTGCGGAGGTGGGGAGCGTTCGTCAGATCTTCGATCTGGAACAACACTAGAATTCAGCTCATTCGCGGACCACTCCAAGTCCAGCTCTTCTTCAGGTTTATGACCTAGGACCCCTTTTCAAGAAGGATGTAGGACTCAATTTATAGAGTTTGTGAGGCCTCCCAGCAAGTAATGAAAGAACTCGAGCTACTCTATCAGACGGCTCGGAGAAATTCCCTCAATCAGACAGTGTTTTTTGAACATTCGAGTGTCTAAATAATGTCAGAATTGAGAAATCTTGTACTCATTGAATTTTTCTCGTCGAGACACTCAATTGGACTATAAGTTTATCAAATTTAAAATTAGTTTGACCTTCCAATTAAGCACTGGAAGCTTCCAAAAATGGTTATATGATTTGATTCAGGCTTGGTTTGACTCTAATCAAACCAATTTTGGTGTCATTGTGCTCGTCCTATTGAGTATGTCAATTTGATTGTAAGTTTGCTAAAATCAAAATTCTACATGATTCTTAATTGGAGTTTAAAATTTTCTTGTTCGAAAAATTATGACTCTAACTGAATGATGAAAATTTATTAGAAGAAGAATATAGATATGAGTGTCTAAAACTAACCTAACATGCTAATTCGAGTTGAATCCGACCCGAAAAACATGGGTACCGACTGAAGAGATTATTTTTTTCATTGGGCTTGAGTCCAAAATCCCAAAGTAATTAATTTTTCGGGTCAACTTGTCTGCCAGAAATTAAACTAAAACTGATACACCAACCGGAAATTGACTCGAAGTTGACCCAAATTTGACTCAAAATTAACTTGGATCTGACCAGGATAACTTTCATAATATATATATAGAATAAGCGGGTTATGTAGGACGGGTTCGAGAGTGGGCTGAAGGCACGTCAGGTTCAGGTTAAGCAATTTCAGGTCAATTCAATTTCAGGCCAAACTTGAAACCGGCCTGAAGTCTTCTTACATGTATTAAACAGGAAAGAACAAATATTAAAGAAGGAATTATTCGGAAAATCTGTTCTATACATTCATAACACGGGCTTAAATAAAGTGTTACAATGTTTTACAAACAGACCCCTAAACTTCTTCAATGTCGAGGCATTCGATTGGACTATAAGTTTATCAAATTTGAAATTAGTTTGACCTTCCAATTAAGCACCGGAAGCTTCCAAAAATGGTTATACGATTTGATTCAGGCTTGGTTTAACTCTAATCAAACCAATTTTGGTGTCATTGTGCCCGTCTTGTTGAGTATGTCAATTTGACTATAAGTTTGCTAAAATCGGAATTATACATGATTCTTAATTGGATTTTAAAAATTTCTTGTTCGAAAAATTATGATTCTTACTGAATGATGAAAACTTATTAGAAGAAGAATATCGATACGGGTGTCTAAAACTAACCTAAAATGCTAATTCGAGTTGAATCCAACCCGAAAAACATGGGTATTGATTGAAGAGATTATTTTTCATTGGGCTCGAGTCCAAAATCCCAAAGTAATTAATTTTTCGGGTCAACTTGTCTGCCAGAAATTAAACTAAAACTGATACACCAACCGGAAATTGACTCGAAGTTGACCCAAATTTGACTCAAAATTAACTTGGATCTGACCAGGATAACTTTCATAATATATATATAGAATAAGCGGGTTATGTAGGACGGGTTCGAGAGTGGGCTGAAGGCACGTCAGGTTCAGGTTAAGCAATTTCAGGTCAATTCAATTTCAGGCCAAACTTGAAACCGGCCTGAAGTCTTCTTACATGTATTAAACAGGAAAGAACAAATATTAAAGAAGGAATTATTCGGAAAATCTGTTCTATACATGTAACAATGTTTTACAAACAGACCCCTAAACTTCTTCAAAACATTATTTTTGAAACTTTGAATTGAAACTATCTTCATAAAACACGCATATGTAATATAATATAGTGATAAATAAAAAATATCTTCAATAATAAAGACATATAATAATAATAACAAATATTAATAATTGTTAAAATAATTATATGAACCAAATTCTTTTCTGCAGATTTGTAAAATACGACAGCATCCATGCCATCCAGAATGATGCAATTCAAAGTTTAAACCCCGACTGTAATTAATTAAATAAATAAATAAATAAAAAATTAAACATCAACATTGATTTAAGATTTCATATCTAACAGCTCAAAATGTGTAAAATAATTTCGATTCACAACCAACCAAATGAAGCCTCAAGAGACCAACTCTTTCACAACAGAGAAATTGCAATGCTAGAATCTAGCAGTTAAAGATTCAAACAAAAAAAAAAAGGGGGAAATTACAATGCAAACCAAACAATTCTAATGTATTTCACACAATTCTAATGTATTTACATATCTAACACCTAAACATTCGACCACTCAAACAGACCACTCAAATCTTTAACATCACAAAACAAATACCACCATCGCTATCTTTTTAAAAGTGAATACACAGATTTATACATAGGTTCATGACACAAGGCATTATAAGTGTATATATCCGACTTTGGGTGTTCAATATGTAAATACATAAGAATTGTGTGCTATGTATGTACGTAAATTTAGAAAAAAAAACATCAAGTATTAAAAAAATCAAATTACCATAAAATTTAGCGTTCGAAAGTTTTCATCTCGCATCCACTAGCTCGAGAAATTCATCTTAATGGTGTTCATACAATCAAGTAAAATTCAACCTATATTATGCCGCATATAGGAGAATTTCAAGCGGTAGTTTTTGAAGGAAAAAAATGCTTCTAAGCTCCATTTTTGTTGGATTTAGGTAGAAGAAATGGTTCCCACCATCCAAATTCATATTTTGGATAAGGAGCAACCCATTTCTCAGTTTTCTCAAACTGCAAATCTACAGAATTACAAATCAACGCTTCCTCCAAGGAGTTTGCTTCGTAGTTGCCTGATAAGACTCTGTCTAATCTCAATTTCATGAACCTGTCAGATGGATTGTAGAGTTTTCAAGCAATGAGAAAGTTGAACTTCTGAATTATGAACTTTAAGGCCAGACTTATCTCTATAAAATGAAAGAAGATTTACATATTTACCACTCAATTCTTGTGTATTTACATATCTAACATCTAAACTTCAATTTTTTACATATATATATATATATATATGCTACCTTGGCAATGCATGAAAAAGATATATTTCACTTTATAAAGGTTAAAATAGTGGCATTTTTTATGGGAAATAAAAATTTTGGGCAGTGTAAATGTAAAAAAGCAAAGTAGATATGTAAATACATAGGAATTGGGTGGTTTGTAATTTGGGCAGTGTAAATGTAAAAAAGCAAAGTCGATATGTAAATACATAGGAATTGGGTGGTTTGTATGTAAATACCCCTAAAATGAAACAATTGTTAAGAGGAAGTTATTGCTAAAATTGTTGATGCTCCTCTTTTGTTGCTGCTTTGTAATTGTGAATACATATGCAGCGCGTTAGAGGAAATTCATGAAAGTGTTGTTTATAATTCTGTATTGTTTTAATAATTTATCATTCTAAGACCATTAGAATATGTGTTAATAAATAGGTTAATATACCATCATATTATTTGTCAACATCTCATAATGGCACCCCTTATATGTAAAGAGATTACATGGAAGATTTATTACTTTCCACATCAGTTCTCTTTTTCTACATGATATCAGAGCAGTGATGGTATGACACACTGTCTTGAAAATGTCTCAAAATTATTGCCAAAAAATTAGCCATGCTCGAGGACGATCTTACCCTCAAATTCCCGGGGGCCCTTGACTACAAATACAAAGATCTCAATTTCATCAATCATGTCCATGAAAATTCATGACATTTGCAGAATTGCATAAAAATATCTCAAATTGCTCCAAGTATGGAGCAGAAAAACAAGCCAACTTGTCTCAAAAATCAACCATTATAAACCAACCAACAAACTCCAATACAAATATGCAATCGCCTCAGACTCCTAAAACATGCTAAACATCACTACTCCTAAAACGCCAAACGAACACAATAACCAAACACCTCAAATTATCCCACTACCAATTCAACTCAACCGTACAATAATAAGTGCCAATTGTGGCACCAATAAAGCCATTTGACACAACGATGACACAACTTCATCTACATGTCCATCACTCCTCACAACCACCAGAACTAACCTCCTCAAGCTCATCCAGTAGCCTAACAGCCCTAAAACCATAACAACTCCATGTCGAGCCCCACTATAGACTATATCGTAGACTCAAGTGCATCTCATCGTGTCAAATCTAACCTTCAAAATATTTCCACGCTTGGAATATCCCACCACAAAAAGTATTCATGTTGGTGACAATACCAAATTAATCATCACTCACACCAGCTCAACCACTCTCTTCTACCTTTATATCCTCCCTTAAAAAACAATATAGGATTGCCATTTATACAACAACAACAGCAACAACAAAGCCTTAATCCCACTACGCGGGATCGGCTACATGAATCCTTTTTCTCCATTGTGTCTTATTTAGTGTCATATTTTCATTTAGTTCTAATAAATTAAGATCATTTTTTTTTTACAAAAACCTCTCCCTTTCTTAACATAAGTTGAATCTAAAACATCTACTCTCCTAATCGAATCATCAAATGGTTGACGTTTAATGTGACCAAACCATCTAAGACGAGTTTCTCTAATTTTGTCCGTCACAGGAGCTACACCAACCCTATCACGGATATATTCATTTCGCATTTTGTCTCTAAGTGTAAAGACACTCATCCACTTAATCATTCTCATCTCGGCAACACTTAACTTATTATTATGCTTCTCTTTTAAAGGCCAACATTCAGCGTCATAGAGCATTGCAGATCTCACAACCGTCTTATAAAATTTTCTTGTAAGTCTAAGTGGTACTTTTCTATCACACAAAAGGTGAACAATAGGCCCAAGATATCAAAAATTCTCCCTCCTTTTAATGATTTGATCACTCATTATTACAAATCTATATATCCATCGCTTTGAACAACAGACCCAAGATATCTAAATCGTTCACACTTTTTTAATAATTTGATCACCCAAAGTCACACTTCTGTCAGTAGAGCTACTATTACTAAAATTACATTCCATGTATTTAGTTTTAGTTATACTTAAATGAATGTCTTTAGACTCCAATGTAGAACTCCATATTTCAAGTTTTTCCTGAGTTTTTTCTCGTTTTATTCAGTAAGACCATCTATAACTAAAGCAAAAAGATATGAGCTTAAAGGCGATCCCTGATGTAATCCAACAGAAATAGGAAAATATTTGATCAATCCCCCTTCAGTTTGAACACAAGTAACAGCTCTAGTATACATATCTTTAATGTCATTTATACAACAGCAAAAACAATTTAGGCTTGCCATCTATGATTAAAAAAATTATTATTCTTCCTCAATAGTGCCTAACTAATAATATTTTTGTTAAATTTCATCACATGCATTTTTGGTCAAGGAACTTCGCTGCAAAATCATTTCTGTGCAACATGCAACTAAAGATGACTTTTTTAAGGCCCTGTAAAAAGCTTGTGCCTGCCTTATCCACCACTAAACCTTCAACCGATTATTGTCATCATCATGTTGGTTACCCGTCATATATTGTTCTACATCACTTAGTAAGTTGATGTCTAAACATATCTTAAATAAATGTAATGTATCTTGGTTTGTTTGTGATTAATGCTGTTGTGAGAAAATTAATATGTTGTTGTATAGCACGTCTTTGATTATTAACTTTTATCCACTATAACTTTGTTATTACGATGTTTAGATCTCACGGGTCATCTTTAATGATAAGTACAAATATCATGTCATATGTCTTATGACTTTATTCACAACACCTAAATCTATCAGCTTAAGAAAAAATCAAAATCATTTCTATTTTCACTGTCTTTAAAATCATCGGTGGAAAAAAATTTCAAAGAGTTATTAATCACTCTATGACATAATCGTGGTGAAGACGTGGCTTTCAAATCCTTCATTGCCTCTATCATTATCTCACATTTAACTACACCTTGTCGGGCTATAGATTACATGGGTTTATATGAACGACATCGCCATCATTATCTTCCTAAAATTAGTCTCACTTCCCTGCATTTGCCTATATGGCAATTATATTCAGGTCAAATGCACACTTCACCCCCATGTATTAAATTGATCAGATGCTCACCATTTTCTCCAATAGTTCCCATTTAAAATTATTTAGCTATCATTCTAACTACAGAGTTGTTACTTGTGTTCGTACAAAAGTTGGATTGACCAAGTATTTTCCTATTTCAGTTGATTAATTCAGGGATTGGCTTTAAGCCCATATCTTTTTGCTTTAGTTATGGATGCTCTTACTAAAAATTTACAGGAGGATGTACCTTGATGTATGCATTTCGATAATGATATCTTTCTTGGGGAAAAACTTGAATTATGAACGTCCACATTTGAGTCTAAAGGCTTTCGTTTAATTAAATCTAAAACTAAATACAATATAATTTTAGTAGTAGTAACTCTAGTGACAGGGTTGTAATGATGGGTGAATTAAATCATATAAAGGTTTAACGTTTTAGATATCTTGTGTCTATTATTCAAAGTGATGGTGATGTAGATGAGGATGCTATTAGTAGAATTCAATTTATTTGGTTGAAGTGGAGAAATGCACCGAGCCTATTGTGTAGGCTTGAAGAAAATTTTATAAGATAGTGGTGAGACCTGTAATATTTTATGGTGCAAAATGTTCGCCTTTAAAAGAGAACATAAAACAAAGTTAAGTATTGTTGAGATGAGAATGCTTGGGTGGATGAGTGGATTTACACTTAAGAGACAAAATACGAAATGAATTTATCTGTGAAAGGGTTGGTGTAGCTCTAGTGGCGGATAAGATTATAGAGAGTCATCTTCGATGGTTTTGTCACATTAAATGCCGACAATCTAATGATCCGGTCAGAAGTGTGCATGTTTTAGATTTGACTTGTTTTAAGAAAGGCAGAGGAAGATCCAAAAAGACTTGAGCATATTATATAAAAAATGATCTTAATCTATTATAATTAAATGAAAATTCGACACTCAATAGGACAAAAATGGAGAAAAAGACATCATGTAGCTGACCATACTTAGTGGAACAAAGGCTTGTTGTTGTTGTTGTCGTCGTTGCATCATTCTAACTACATCAAAGTTTGAGTGCCTTTTCTACCCCTAGTTTCAGCACTTTGCGATTAACAAGTCAGCCAAACTTTTCTCGGCCATGTGTGTTTATTTACCACGTTGCCTATCAAAATGCTTATATTAATATAATGACAACACAAAAAATTATGCGTCATGGCATGTGACATTTGTATAAAGTATCCTCCACTCCTTTTTTCAAAAACCCACCGCAGCTCTAGAGATGTCAAGCTGGGTTGACGAATCAAGTTCGAGTTTGAACCAAAGTTAACCCAAGCCGAATATGTTTAACCTGAATTTAGCCTGCATATTATATTGGTCAAAATATTTAGCCAAAATTCAACTTAGCAGACCAACTAACCCAAACCCAAATAGTAAATGGGTACATTTTGAATTGATTTCAAGTTCATTGGGTGAACTCAAAACGACGCAAACAATAATTGATTCTAACCTAAGTACTAATCAAGTGAACTCAAATCAAGATTTTTTGAGCTGGACTTGGGATGGGTTGTGCGGTCGAGTCATTTGTTGAAACCTAATAACTCCCATAATTGAATCCATCTTATCATCATATGAATCTCTCCGCAATATAAATGTTCATCCATACACAACAAACCATGTCATAATATCTCCCGCCAACAAAATCTCATCCCCTTCGGTAAATAATGACTCATTTTTATTACTGCCCCAGCTATCTCACCTGCATGTTCTATAAACCATGTAATATAATCCATGCTATCCTCCAAACGTGGCCTGCTCCCCTCATTACCTTTTATTTATGTCCATTCATTTTCACGAAGCAACCCAGTACCTTTCTAGTCCACAACGCCAGCACACCCCCTCTTAAATCCAAAATCCTCACTTCCATACCCCTACCCAATTAGAAATACACCCAACAACCTCCACCCTCATCGTCGCTCCATAATTCCTGCCTAAACATCTTAACCAATCCACAAATCACTAGCCCGACAACTTTAGCATGTTGCTAGTATGCGTTCAATCCCCTAACCTATCCAACATTAGCTCACCTTCTTCTCATATTGCACCATCACATAACATCACCACCAAATACTCCTAACCATCGGCTCCCCCATCTCTTCATAATTATTATCTCCTACAAAGTCATACCTGAACTATATCTTGAAGCCCCTCATAAAACTCATCCTTACAAACTCTCTTCTGCCTCTTTCAACTCATAAAACCAAAACCGTTAACCAAGCCTTCAAACAATTCGAGTGAAGGGTTGATGTATCTAGCAATTTCAACACTCTCATTTGAAATCCTACCTGGACACTCACCCTACGTACCTTATCTATCTCAAAAACTTTCCAATTACAAATGATTTTTTTCACCAAACATAAGCCCGTTGGATCTATAAATCACCATAATACTCAACTTGTCGCAAAGGGCTTTAATCAACAACACAATATTGATTATCATGAGCCATCAATTTTGTCGCCAAAAAAAATAATTTCAAAGCTAATCCAAATGGTGGTTGCCAGAGAAATTAGAGATCTACTATATTTTTCTTCATGAGTATCTTGTTGAAGATGTCTAAATGCACCAATCTCTAAAAATTCATGACCCAACTCATTCCACAAATGTTTGTCACCTAAAAAATCTCTCTACAAATTGGAAGAAGCACCCCAAACCTGGTGCCAACAATCACACCAACTCCTCATCAAAACTGATGCCTCCCTTTCCTCTACTCTCATCAATATCTCATAAAGTATCTCCTTGTGTATGTTGATGGCATCATCGTCATCAAAATTAATGATCAGTTTCTTCAATAGTTCACCAATCAATTGGCTTCAACAATCTCTATACAAAATCTAGGAGAGCCCTCCTACCTCCTAGGTGTCCAAGTCATCTCCACCAAAAAAGATATTATTTTGTCACAACACAAGTACATCCATGATCTCTTTGAGCACACAAAACATGGTCAATGCCAAAGACATCACTACTAATATATCTCCAAATAATATGCCTACAATTTATAATGGTATCTCTTCCACCTTTCACTTTGAGTTTCGATTTGTTATTGTTGTCCATCAATATATATCTCTCTCACCTTGTTGGACATCATATCATCATCGACAAAATCTCTTAATTCATGCATCAACAATCGACTGACCAAAAGAGCGTTGCCAAACACATTCTACATTATCCAAGCCCTATAGTTTTCAGAGGATGCTATCTTCTATAATTCTAACTTAAACAACATAAGAGAATTTTATGTAGTAAAAAATTGATCCCTGAAGCTCAAAAACTCTTTGTGTCTTGCTTGATTGTGTTTCTAATGTATTCACATTAAAAATTCTTACAATTTGAACATATATATATAGCTTGTTATTGCTTCTTATCGTACATGTATTAGTTTGATTTCTAAAACTACAATAAAAAACTAACTTGCAGCGCAATGAATCATTTAAATCAATTTTAAAGATCTTGTAGAGGTTATACATGCACATACATACATATATACAAATGTGTAAATGTATATATCATATATGTATGTATATATGTTTATATATATGTATGTATATATCTGTGTATTTTTATAGGGTTGATGCAAAGTGTTAAAGTAGAAAAGGAAAATGAAAGAAAAACAAAATTATCCCAAGATCATTAGAGACTAATAAAACTTACGTGATCCACCGATCATCAGTGGAGACCAAGGCGACCGCAGGTCTTTTGAGCCTATTGGTAATGTTTGGAAACTGATCAAGAAACTTGGGCTCAATAACAAGCCAGAAATCTTGTTCCTTATTTCTTTCACCATAGTTTCGGCGCTTCTCAAACAACAACTCTTTGAAGTGTTCCTCCTCATCAAGCATGAACTTTGCATTTGCCACAAGAAAATGGTATCTCTTTGGCTTCACCTACAAATTATCATCTCATTTAGATTCAAAACATTTAAGAAAAATATATAGTTATTAAAATTAAAAAAAAAATTATTAGGAGATTATGCAAAAAAAATGTAATAACATCAAAAAGCAAAATCTGAATAAAATGACACTATGGAGAATGGTAAAATGTTTCTTGTAAACTAAAGCTAGAATAATATGAATCTCAAAGCCGACACATATCATAAGACAAACGTGAACCTAAGATAACTTAGTAATTATAAGTTTGAGCTAATACTACTTAGCTTAGCCTAGCCAACCTTTAACTTCCACAGGATACGTCCACTAAGATACCTAACCTTTCATCCACAAAGGGAATGGGGAACAAAACTGAGGATGATGGGCAATCTTTAATTGTAGTTGTCGCAAAAATACTTACAAACTCAATTGAAGTTTAAGATCCTAATAAACTTTAATGCACGAGTCATGCTCCGCCATTGGGGTATAAACAAGTTGAGCTTGAGTAAAGTTTAATAATCTAAAAAAAAATATTTATGCTTGACACCCGAACATGAACTTTTAAAGTATATAAAACCTATTTCAAAATGATAAAAATTAAAGAGATTTTGCTTAAGTTCATTTAGACATTTGCCTTGTATTAATAAAATTTTAGTAGGGATTCTATAGGGAAATATATGTAACCAGGAATTGAAAATAGGTTACACAATAAATTACAATGGAACAATAAATATGAATGTAACAATATATATGGATTGCTCAAATGCATCTACAATCATAGATATCAATCATGTGTCAATGGAATCAACAAACAAATGAAAGTGACATGTTGGCAAAACGTGGGGCGTCAAATCGCACGGGTTAGCAGGGGTGGACAACTACAAAGTAGCAAGTTCAAAAACGTCACAGCATGAGATAGGGGTTGCTTGGGTGCAATGGTTGTACTGATTTCCAGGAAATAATTAGAATAATTAGGAATGTTTTGAAGGTCTATTTTCAATGGAATATTTTATATAAATTATAGAAGATGCATGTTAGTGAAAAAACCAAAAATAATGTCAATTGATTTAGCAGGGGTGGACAACCACAAAGTAGCAAGTTAAAAAATGTCACAGCATGAGATAGGGGTTGCTTGGGTGCAATGGTTGAATTGATTTCCAGGAAATAATTAGAATAATTAGGAATGTTTTGAAGGTCTATTTTCAATGGAAATTTTTATATAAATTATAGAAGATGCATGTTAGTGAAAAAACCAAAAATAATGTCAATTGATTTCTTGGATATGCATTGACTCAATATCCATCCATAAATCACAAGGTAACATGGGTATCAAACTTCTTGTGTGAAAACTTGAAAATGTGTTAAGTTTTGTATAAATTAAGTAGCTTTGCATTAGATTGGTGGTTGTATAAGTTTGGCGCTTAATAGCTTAATAAACAATGGAAGTACAAAATAATCTTAAGTCTTTTGTATGGTAAATTATTTTCAAGAGTTCAAAATATCATCTTGAATGATACAATTCTGAAAAACTTATGAAATGAATGATTTTATGACTTTTTTTAATCCTTTTATTTAATATCTCCCCTAAATTATTTCTTCAATCCTGTAAGAGTTGAAAATTCTATTTTTCTTTGATGAGCGATGTTGTCCTCATGTTTTGGAATACACTACAATTGTATATTCTTTGTCAATATTGGATCATTTAACCTCTCTTGTAGGCATAGGCTTACTAAAGCAAAACCACAAAAATTTATAAAATTCTCTTCCTGTGCTGTTTGAATTTTTTTTTAACCAGTCACTTTACGGTTCACCATTCTTGCTTTTGATTTGGTAAAACAACAGTTTATACATCGACACATGCTCTCTTCTCCCAACAGCATGAAGTTAAAACAACAATTCTGTTCAGCGCATACCTAATTTCTTTTCAATAACCAGCGCTAGAAATCTCAGCCCAAGAATAACATTTTTCCTTTTTTAAAAAGGAGTTTTTCTTCAATAACCATCTGATTCAATCCTTCCCGCATTACCACAATAACCTCAAAACCAATCAGAATTTCTGCGTTTTCTTCTATTTCAACTCAAAGTACAAAAATAGAGAAACTGATTTCTAGTAGGAGAGAAAACTAACCTCATCAATCGTCTGTGAGAAACCGAGTTCATCGGAGCCCACCGCGACGGCTCGGATCGGAAATGAAGAGTTCCTGATGCAGAGCCCGCCGAGCTTACCAAACCCTTTGCCAATGGTGAGCAGATGAAGGTCGGCGAGGTGAATAGGAGGATTTCCCTTCGGCGTAAGCGGCCTCTCCGAGCCGTGCGACGGTAAGCTGCCACATGGCCGTAGGGCTAGCGTCGCAGCGGCGAGCATGAACGGAGCTCGAATGTAGTGATATGGGTGCTGAGGGAGAGGGAAGAGAACCGAGGATTACAGTATACCTTATCGGCTTCAGCTCATCTCTGATTTGCTGTATCAGTTTATTTACATATTACGCCTGGATTTTTTTTATTTGCAAGAGAGAATGTTTTATTAAATGGGTATGAATGTTAAAATAATTTGCATAACGCTTTCGGATTTCATTTTTATATAATTGCTGTTAACATGTATGCTTGCAAGCTGGGGTGTAAACTCTCATGTGTTCGGCATTTTATTCGTGTTCGGCCCGTTTATATTTCGAACTCAAAAAGTGTGTTTGTGTTGGGCTTATTTGTTTAGCAAGCCGAACAAGAGTTGTTCGCAAACAAAAAGTCATTTTAGCAATCCTAGTCATGCAATAGTTGAAAGATAAGGGTTCAGACAAGATTTAAATATTATTCTTTATATTAAAATATCATTTAAATATAATTTAATATATTTTTATTCTGAGTTTTGTTTAATATTTTAAATTGATTATAAATATTTGTAACTTTGTAGACAATTAATATATATATATAAAAATGTCGGTTTTGACAACCCTACTTAGGAGTTAGGAGTGTGATATTATAATGACAAGAAAGATTTACATGGATACCACATAAATCATATGTATTTACATATATAACTCTCAAATTTTTACTTTTACATCCTTACCATTTTATGTATGCTTAAAAATGCATTGTACTTATTAAAAGTTAGTGATGGTAATATTGCCTATAAGATATAAGAGATTTAAGTGTTATGAGTTTCTAAATTAAATTTTAGGAGCTAGACTTATAAATATATAAGATTTTTGTGGTTTATATGTAAATACCCTAATAAACATTGCCTTTTAAAAAAATTATGATGGCATCACCATGCATAGCCATCTTATTAAAATATATTAATCATAGAAGTTGATAGATTATAATTAATATAACCATGTATGGAAAATTCTGTTATAATAAAGACGGCTTATTATCTTTCAAAAAGATAAAATTATATATATATATATATA